CAGCTCGCTCACTAGCCCGGGAAGCAGATATAGGCCCTGCGGGGATGCCAGCGCCCAGGCAGGCCACGCCGCCTGCGGGGAAGGGAAGTCGGGGCGCATTATGAATCCTTCCCCGGGACAGTTATAAATAGTGCGATGACATGTAAAGGAGAAGCATATATAAAAGTTAGCTGTCCCCTCTGTGGGTTACAATTGGTTAATTCATGGCAGACTGTCCACAAGGTTATAAATAAAGAGGCCAGCACCCTGGACGGGCCTTGTTCTCGCCTTCCCAGAGCTACACTTGCCTCCTTAGGCCAAGACACTCATTGTGACCCGTGAAGATACAATGTTTGGGGGGGAAGTGGGGGGCATGGTCCCTGGCTCTCCGCTCCTGCCTGTAGCCAATGGCTTATAGAATCTCCTGCCTTCTGTAACCCTGTCCCACAGGTCCTCCACGTGGAGGGTCCATGAAAAGGGGTCTGGCCTATTCTTACTTTCCCAACATGCCTGACACCACAGACATCGGGACATGCCCTGCAGCCACGCACTGGCCCCACGCGGCTCCTGGGTCTGGCAGGTGAGGCCATGCGCCCAGCTAGGCCCAGCTGCTGCTCTGCCTCTCTGCTGACAAGGCCTCCATGGCCAGCAGGGCAGGGGTCAGGGGAGCTGGAACCAGGGATCCTACTCCACCTTCAGGCTACAGGCTGGGATGGATCATGGACCCCTATGAGCTGGCCCTGAGGGGCCCCCACCCCTCCTTGAAGAGTGAATGGCCGGGAGCCACGCTCCCCTGGGCATGCAGAAAAGCCAGTCCTTTTCAGGGGAGCTTCCCACGCGGTGGTCTGAAGATGGAGGTGTAACTGGAGATGAGAAAGACAGACATGCATGGGAGAGACAGGACAGCCAGGTAGGACTGCCACACCAGCTCCTGTGCCATGGCCTGGGTAACAAGGCCAGGCAGGGGGAGCGGGCAGAGCAGAGGGGCAGGAAGTTGGTGGAGCGGGCAGGGGTGGGCACAGGGTGGGGCCGAGGAAGTGAAACTCAGATAAATTGTGAGGCCAGGGGTGGAGAGCGGTTTGAGGTTGTGAAAATTGGAAACAGAGCCACCTGCTGCACCAGCATTTCCCAGCCGCCCCTGAGATGACTCATGAGGCCCCTGAGAAACAGGGTCCGCCTGGGACTGGCCAGCTGGACAGACTGAAGAGAGGTACCAGCCCAGCCACCAGCAGGACGGCAGGGGGAGGTGCAGGAGGCCAGAGCCTGGGGAGGAGGGGAGGGCAGGCCGAGCCGGGCCCAGCCCCAACTCTCTTCCGATCCCGTAGAGAAAACACAGCAGGCAGAGCGAGGCGACGGAGTGGGTGTGCCTCCAACCAGCTCCGGGAGAAAATGCAGAATGCCAGGAAGGACTCCCCGAGTCCTCACTGCCTCCTCCAACTGACACCAACGTGCTAGAGACACTGTCACCACGATTTCTCAACAGGCTCTCTCGACCTGGCCACGTCATGATGTGTGAGCCCTCGGGTGAACTCACCAATGACCAACAAACAACAAACAAACCTGGCCACGTCATGATGTGTGAGCCCTCGGGTGAACTCACCGATGACCGACAAACAACAAACAAACCTGGCCACGTCATTCAGCTCAGGGGTCCCGGGCCACTAGCAGCCAGGCCGGGCCATGTTGTGAGTGTGGCCTCACAAGAATGAACCGCTCTCCTGCTATCTGAGCCCCACCTCAGCCCAACTTCCTTCCCCGACTTCACGGAGGGCTGGTGAAGGGGGACCAGGCCGGCGCTGTCCCTATGTCTTTCCTCCTCTCCCTGGCTCCCTTATGCACTAACTTTGGATGCGCTCAGGGACATGCCATGTTCATCTCAAGAGAGCCCGGCCTCAGGGCGGATTTCTCCACCAGGAACAGATATCAGTCAAACACAGACACACAGGAAGGCCACGGCTCCATGGATAAAAGCGGGGAACTTCCGAAAGGAGCTCAGGCCCAGGGTGGGTAGTCTTCAGTCACATGGGGGGGGGGGGAAGGTGTCCCTCTCCCCAGGGCCCTCTGGGTGGGAACTGCCCCCATCAGTGCAGAATTACCCAACCTGGTGAGAATTACCCATCCTCCTGCTTCCAGACACGCGAAGCCAACTAGAGGCACAAGTTCTCCAGCAAAAGAAACCATCACCCACCCACCCCCGGGCCCACTACCAACTCTGAGTTCCCCCTGTTGGTGGTTCTTCATTCTCACCCAAACCCCCTGTCACAATAGAGCCAGTTCCCCCACGAGGCCAGGGAACAGACGTCCACCTCCCCTACAACAGGCCCACGTGGAGAGAGGGTGCCGGTGAGAAGACCTAGCCCCTTCTCAGAACTTCTCCCTCCGAGATACAACTTCTCGACTCCATCGACAAGTCTTCCTTCCCAATCCTTGAAGGCCCCAACTAATTCTGGAGCCAGAAGGAGAAAACAGGAAAAAGACATTCCTTTCCCTCTCGTCCGTACCATCATTATTAACAACAACAATAGGCCCTGGTTACCGAGCAGGCACTGCACGCAGCGCCCCACTCCTAGTCTAACTCCCTTCTCCCCACTTGACGGCTGGGGAGACAGGCTTGCAGAAGCTACGTGGCTTGTCCAAGATCACACAACCGGGAGTGGCAGAGCTGGGACTCACACTTCCGTCTGAGTCTTTCAAACAACCCTACTGGCCCACAGAAGAAGAGAGGGGTAGCCACCTCACCCCCTCCTGGGCCCACAAGGTCTGACAGAGGAGACACCCAGAGCGTCCTCCTTTCATAATGACCCAATTATGGGCAAACAGACAGAGGGGCTGAGGAATGAGTGAGCCCTGCTACTCATAACCAGTGCCGGCCCGACCCCAGGTGCACAGGAAGTGGCCGTCTCACCAGCGGAGGCGAGCAAGGCCCGCCCTGTGCTGCCATCAACCAGGGGCTCCCCATCTTCGAAAGGGTACAGCCTGGCCCCGTGGGTCACTTCACCCTTCCTTCACCCCAGAGCCTGCTTTCTCCGACTCTGGGGAAGCCCCTCTCCCTGAACACTCCGTGGCATGGCACCTCTCCCAGCCCTTGGCTGCGCAGCGGCCACCCCTTCCCCCCATTGCATGAAAAAACAAATGTGCACACACGGATCCCACTGGGGGGCCGTCTCTAGGAAGAGCTGACCACGGGGGTCATTGAAAGAGGAGGTGCTGTCTTCCCCTCACCCCCAGCACTTGGGCCTGCATTCGTTTCCCAGCAGGGGCTCCTGGTCCCCAGGGGGTGACTGGAGGGAGCCAGGGCTGTGCTCAGGGTGGCTGCCGAGCCCGCTGGGGGTGGCAGCCCCCTCTCCCTGCGGCTCGGAAGGGAAGTCGGCAGTGAGCAGAAGGACCTGCAGACTCAGAGGCTCATTACAGGGAATGACTAAGTGACTGCGATTCCAGGGGAAACCCCACTCGCTTCTGCGCGCTGAGGGATTCAAATCCTGGAGCATTTAGATGGAGGCAGCTTCTAGGAGCTGCTCAGCTGGGAGCCCCTGCGAGCGGCCAGGTTCCTGGGGGGAACCCTCCACCTGGGAGTCTTGGCTCTGCCCCAGCCCTTTCCAGAACGGCCCCGTCTGCCCGTCCCCGGTTAGAGCTCCAGGCTGGGAATGGGAAATCCGATCAGCACCTCCCAGGTTTTAGCGGCTGGATTTCAACAAGGAATGTGACAGTCTCGCAGCAGCTGTGCGCAGCCTGAAACAAGCTCTATTTGAAACCTCCAACAGCTGAGCCCCTCCCAGCTACAGGCAGCCTGCCCAGCCACCCCCTGCCCAAAATGACAAATAAGTGAGAAATGCAGCAACAAGGAGGCGCGCACACACACACACACACACACACCAACAAATTGGGGTGAGGGGTAAATGGGAAAAATCCACCTGCCCCACGACTCCCCAGGTCTCCAAGCCTTTGAGCCCACAGCAGGCAGAGCATGAACAAACCCACCTTCCTCAACGCCCACCGCCTTGGAGGACGCGGTTTCCAAGCCCCCCTGTGAGGGAACCCCATCCTCCATCTCCAGCCGGACGGAGGCTGGAGCCGCGGGGCCAGCTCCCCCACTAAAGTGGGCGCTGCCGGCTCCATCAGCGTGCACACACACACACACACTCCACCTCATTTACCCCCGAGAGGAGACGCCGGGGCGGGAGGGGAGGACGGGGCTGAGCGGGAAGCGGGCTCTCAGGGACGCCTGGGAAGCCTTGTCATCCCATCCGAAGGAGAGGCGCTCCCCCCCCACCCCCAGGCTGGTGCCAAGGCGGTGCCCATCTGCTCTGCCCGGGGAACACCTGTAGCCATTTTATCAGGGGCTGCTTAGAAGCAGCAGCAGGTTTATTCTGAGTCCTCTTTCCTGAGGGAAGAGCCGCTCATTTCCTCCACCTGTATTTTTATCCCAGGCCCCCAGGAGACGTGGGCCACGGGTGCTTTTGGATTTCGCCCTAAGTCTCTCGGGGATGAGGAGGGAAACAGAAACTTGGGGAGAGAGGGAGCAGACAGAGAGAGAAGGGACGGGCATGGCACCCTTACCCCCCACCCAGACATTTATTTCTTTTTATCCTCGGGAAAATGGAGTGGAGCAAGGAGGGGAGGAGAGGAGGGAAGTCGCAGGAGCTGGCAAGCACACCCAGGCAGAGTGTAATTAATTGGTGCGTTAAGCTGCTGGGTTATGCGTTAGTGCTGGTGAGCAGGGCGGGGTGGGGGTGCGGGGGGAGAGATTTCTCAGAAGGGATTCTTTAATCCTCCCCAACACGGAGTCTGCAAATTAGACACAGTGCATGGGGATGTCCTCCCACCAAGAAAACCAGGAATGAATTCTCCCAGGATTAAGAAGGAAAACCACGGGAAGTTAAAGTGTTCAATATAATTGAGCAACCGCCTCTCCCCACCACCACCACCACCGCTCTCCCCAATCAATCTCTCAATCATTCTCTCTCTCTCTCTACCTATATATTCCTTTTGTTCAAGGTATAAAGAGAAACCGCAGCCCCTACCTTTGAGTACAAACCCCAAGAGAGCTCGGTCTCTATCACCATAACAACAATTCCAAACATCCCAAAAATCAGAGCATAGTCACTCAGCCGCTTTCTCTTTTCAAACAGGGCCCTCCTGTGTCCCAGCTTATAGCCAATGTTTTGGTTTTTCCGCTTGTTGGCTTTGGGGAAGGTGGTGCCGCTGGGGGTGGTGCCGGCGTGCTGGTGGTTGTGGGTGGCATTGGGGTGATGGAGCAGAGTCTGGTGGGCATGGTTGTCCTCCCGGGAGGAGACGACGATCTCAGGGGGGTTGCCGGGGCTGAAGAGCTGGAGGGGTTGGCCCTCGGGCTCAGCCTCGATGAGGTTCCTCCGGGAGGCGCTGAGGCGGCTGAGGGGCTTCATGACCCCACCACTGTACTTGCAGGAGCTCATGGCGATCTCCGTGAAGGGGTTGCTGTCCCGCCGGTGCACCAGGGGGCTGGCCTGCCGGTGCCGGCTGCCTCCACCGGGCCCACTTGTGGCTGTGGAACTTGGAGAGTGGCCAAGCAAGTGGTCATTGAGATTGAGCTGGCTGCCTTGCCTGGAGGAAGGGTGGAGGATGGCGGTGGAGTTGGACAAGGGGGGGGCCCTGAAAGCCGTGGGAGAGGAGTGGAGCAGGCCGGGGTGCACGGGCTGGCTCTGGAGTTGGGCGAGCTGAGACAAGGGATGCGGTGGCTGCTGCTGCTGCTGCTGCTGCTGCTGCTGCTGCTGCAGAGGCTGAGGCTGAGGCTGCAACAGGGGTCCCGGGGGCTGCTGGGGGGCTGCCGGGGGTGCTGGCGCTGGTGGCGGCTGCTGCTGCTGCTGCTGCTGCTGCTCATCCCCGGAGGATGGACAGGGGCACTTGGGGTCTTCATCCAGGTCCCCCACCCCCGAGTCATGGAAGTGCCCAGAAGTGTCCATCTTGGGGCCTGGCTGGGTTGCCTGCAGCACCACCCCCCACCCCAAAGCCACCGTTGCTCCAGAGATGTCCTCAAAGAGTGCCAGGCATCCGAGCTCCCACCAGAGTGTCTGGCTCCCGTCCTCCCTGTGGCTTGCTCCGGCTCTCGGGGCTGCTAGGAGTCCAGGCGCTGCCAGTCAAGAATGCATTGTACTGGGCAGGAAGGGAGGGCGGCAGGGGCGCTGGGAGCGAGCAGAAGAGGGGAAGAACTCTGTCTCGGGAGGTGGTCCTCTGGCAGCATGCGAGGCCAGGCTCAGCTCCACTCCTCGCTGGCTCCAGAGCTTTGCTCTCCTCCTCCTGCCACTGTTAAATGGCAAGCCCAGCCCACCTATTAGCAGCTGGTCTCATTGGCTGGGCTTAACCCTCCCACCACCTCCTAGCCCCGCCCCCCTGGTACGCTCCTCCCAGGAGGCGGGGCCTGCCGCCCGGCTCCCAGCCCCGCGGCCGCACGGGGCGGCTGGGAACTGTAGTTTACGCTCCCGGCCGGGGAGCGGAGGCGCTGTCCCCTTTCCTCCCGCAGGTAGAAACCGGGAGCCCCGGACGCGGTGCGCGCACGCGGGCAGCGGCGGGGAGGGGCAGAGAGCCTCCTGAGCGGGGAAGCTGTGCCCCCTGTTTCGCGGGCAGGAAGCAGGGAAGACAAACAGTTATTCGTGGCCAGGATCTGCCATCGGTTGTCTCACACGTATTATCCACTAACATCCTCCAGACACCCTCGGAGGTGAGCACTAGGCTCCTCCTTTACACGCCGGTGCTCGGAGACGTTGAGTAACAACTCCGAGGTCAAAGAGCAGAGGGGCCCACGCCCTCCTGCCTCCAGGCGGAGAGGCTCACCTCCTGAACCCCTGCGGTAGGTGTGCACCTGCCTCTGTTATGTCTAACCTCACATCGGCGCTATGAAAATGCCATCCACAGACAAAAACTGTGAAAACAAAACAGGAAATCACTCAGGCACAGACAAGTAACCTGCCCGAGGTCACCCAGCTTGTCTTTAAGGGTGCTACGGCTTGAACCCCGGTCAGTCTGACCCTGCACCTCCTATACCATCTCCCAGGGTGCCTTCCCACGATGACGCTCAAACGATGGATGGAAAAGAGCCAGAGAAAAGGCCAGCGAAAAGGCAGGATGTGTGAAGTGGACCACGGCTCCAGCTGGGCGTGGCGTCCCCAGAGGGTCTGGCAGGCACCAAGTGGTTGCTCTGTGAATGTCGCTCAAACGGTGGATGGAAAAGAGCCAGAGAAAAGGCCAGAGAAAAGGCAGGATGTGTGAAGTGGACCACAGCTCCAGCTGGGCGTGGCGTCCCCAGAGGGTCTGGCAGGAAGACTGAAGACCCCCCCATGGTCACTCCCCAACTGATCTGCCCCGTGGGGCTCTGAGTCAGAGTTGGGAACAGCTGCTGGCTTCCCAGGTGCAGAACCGTCATCAAGTATTTATTAAGCTCCCACTGTGTGCAAGGGAGCTTGAAAGAGATGGGGCCGGAGCTGAATTCATTTCCGTTTCTATCTCCAGCAGCAGCAGTCCTGCTTCTCCATCACCCCTAACAGTCTGGCCAGCTGCTCCCTGGGTAGGAAAGGGGAAGAGTAGGAGAGCCATGCACACACACACACACACACACACACACAGATACATGCATGCAGGCACATGCATGTACATAGGTGTGCATACACTGGCCCTCAAACATACATTGGCCCACGTACATGGACATACACATGCACACACTAAAACAGCTCTCCTGAATGGTGAGCAGCAAATGGCCACATCAGGAAGGGACAGAGCTCCCCTCAGATCAGCCCCTAGTACCCTCTGTATACCAGTTCTCACCTCTTCAACCCCCTAGCAGCCCTGATGATAGAGAAGTAATTATTACAGAAGCACAACCCCAGGAACCTGAATAATGGCAATAACTCACACATTATAATCTTGATGACTATTATTATTATCAATGATATGATCATTCCTTCTCCCACTGCAAGTCACAGCGCTGGGGCTTAGACACAAGCCTGGGTTCCATGTATTGTCCAATGACCATGTACACCCTCCCCCCCCACACACACACACACCCTCCAGCATGCCCTGCCTTTCCTCCCCTTCCCTTCGATCTTTTTGGTTTCCCTCCCTCCATTCCCAAACAGAGTCAACTGTTTGGTTTCAATGCTCCATATCCCATACTTAGGCTTCATGATTTCTTCATAAATTATTGCTCCTATACTGTTAATAGCAGACGTGTGCTGTTAGTATTGGTTCTGGGTGCCAGGGCAGCATCTGGGCTGTGACAGACTCCAGGCCTGGACATTCCTGTGCCCACTCCACCACCATAACCTGCCCCAGCCTCCACTGGCCTTGGAGGGCCAGCCTCTGCCTCCAGGTCTCATGGCTGTGCCAGCTGACCCCAACGGGGAATGTTAGAGCAAGTCCCATGGATGGGGATGGAGGGCGAGGGAGCAGACTATGCCAGAGCCAGAGATCAACTGGGGATTCGCCTGGAAATGGGCTGGAGCTTGGCGGCGAATGCCACTGGAGCAGCGCATGCCCCTGGACAGAGCCGCCCCGTTGGAGTGGGAAGAGAACAATGTCATGGTTAGAGCTTGGGCTCTAGAGCCGTGGTTCTCAACCTTCTGGCCCTTTAAATACAGTTCCTCATGCTGTGACCCAACCATAACATTATTTTCGTTGCTACTTCATAACTGTAATGTTGCTACTGTGATGAATCGTCATGTCAATATCTGATATGCAGGATGGTCTTAGGCGACCTCATGAAAGGGTCGTTCGACCGCCAAAGGGGTCGCGACCCACAGGTTGAGAACCTCTGCTCTAGAGTCAGACTGCCCAAGCGGGAGCCCCTCTCTGCTACGCAATAGCTGTGTGACCACAGGCAGGATCCTCCGCCTCCCACTCTATGAAATGGGAGCAATAGGGCCCCTACCTCGAGGAGCCCGGGAGGATTAGAAGCTTGTCAGTGTGCGTGGATTCTCCCTCAGGCCCATACATGATGACCTTGAAGCCTCAGGGGTGTGCTGGAGCAGGCTGGTCCTAGCTCATACAAGCCAACTGTGCAGATCTCTTCCAAGTCCCAGATCCACTGACGTCACAATGATAGCTTGAAATCAGTGGTGGTGGGAGTATTGACACCACAGGAATTGGCAAACACTTCCCAGCAGGGCTGACCTTTCCTGGTGAGCCAGTTGTTAAACATTTAATGGCTGTTAGACATTTACCGCACACGTCTGCCTCTTACCCCATATCATCATACACAAAACGTCACTCCATCCTCCTCTCTCCACTGTCCAAGCACTTCCTCTCCTCCCTCCCTCTCACCAGCACAAGCTTTGCCACGTGTTTGCTCTGTGACCTTGGGCCAATTGCTTCATCTCTCAGGATTTTAACTTCCTCAGCTCCGATGAATTAGCACAAACCAAGTACTTTGTCACCGTAAAGTGCTTAACAGGTTAGTAAGTCAACTGGGAGCCACTCAACCACAGGCCTGATCATGTCAGGTTTCCCATCCTGCCGTACAGACCCACTGCTCTCACTAATAGTCTCTGCCCACTATTGCTGCAGGCCCAATCCTCACTGTTGGAAGCCCCCGATGCTCTTCCTAGCCCCTGGGAGCTAAAACCATGGCTTCAAAACACCCATGAATTGGAGTCATCACCCATTTTATAGATGAGGAAACTGAGACATTAGACAGATTAAAAACTTCCCCACAGGTACTAACTAGTAACTAGTGGCATAGCAAGAATCAAATCCAGATCTGTCTGACCCCCAGGCCCAAGCACTTTTCTGAAATGCAGATCAATAGGATTCAGACTTATTGGTACTTATTAACATTGCCATGTGACTCACACAGCCAGCCCTCAGGAGCTTATGAGCTCACTGTGGAGACAAGCTATACTCACATGGGGTGATAAAGAACCACACCAGAGATTCCCAAAGTGCGGTATAGACAACAGAGTTCATTGAATGCAGAGGGTAGTTAATGAAAGCTTTATGGAGGTGGTGGAATTGGAGCCACACCTTGAAGGATGGGCTCTTCCCACGAATCAGGCCTCTGCCGTCTATAAAGATGAAGGCTAAGGAGTGTGGTGGAGTTTCTTAGCTCAGAGAGCACAGGGAAGGTGAACAAGGGCACGCTCACCAAACCCAGAAAGGCGAAGGGAGCCTTTGGCCATACCAGCTCCGTGTCAGCCAACTGGGCCCCTGCCCTCCTTTCGACACTCATTCCTCACCACATCCTTCTTTAAGCTCCAGAAACACCGGCTTCTTATCGTTCCTCCGATAAACCAGCTACCTCATACCGCCACGCTTTTGCTCATGCTGTTCCTCTGCCTGGCACGCCCTTCCCCTGCATCTCCACCTACACATTTCTTTTTTGCCCTTCAAAATATATCTCGAGGGTTCCCTTTCTGGGAAGCCTTCCTCAAGTTCCTCGAGTCCCGATTAGGGGTGCTTCTTCTATATTTTCAGTACTTGATGCTCACCCCTATCCCTATCTTATCAAACAGTATGGCTGTTATCTCTGTGTGTCCTTTTCCCCTAGAGGCTAGGGCCCTGGACCATAACCAACTTGAGAGCAGGAATGATGTCTGCTCCGTCGCTGTATCTCCAGTTCTTGCAGAGAGCCTGGCATCTAATAGATGCTTAATAAAGACTAATTGAACTGAACTGAAGTTGAAACCTGGGAGTGGTTATTTAGAAGCAAATAAGAGGAAGTAGTAGTACTTTCCACAACAAATAATAACCACAATTTCCTCATCAGTAAAATGAATGATATAGAAAAGATGATTCCTAGAATCACTCAGCTTTAAAATCCCATAATCTGCCCTAACCAGTTTGGTTCAGTGGATAGAGCTTCAGCCTGCGGACCAAAGGGTCCCAGGTTCAATCCCGGTCAAGGGCATGTACCTTGGTTGCAGGCTTCTCCCTGGCCCGGGCCCTGGTCAAGGCTTGTGCTGGAGGCAACCAATCAATGTGTTTCTCTCACATCTGTTTCTCTCTGTCTTGCCCTCTCTCTTCCGCTCTCCCTAAAAATCAATGGAAAAATATCCTCAAGTGAGGATTAACAAAACAAAGAAATAAAAGAAAGAAATAGGCCTAAGGAAAACCAAGCCTTTTAAAAAATAAAATCCCATAATCTGTGATCTGTAGAACTTGTTGCCCCCAAAGATAGAACTGACTGAAAAGTAATGGTTTAAGAAAAGTAATGATCTGTGGTTTATATGGCTCTTTTCCCCACTAGACTATGAACTCTGTATCCCCAGAACTGAGCAGGGTGCCAGGTCATGGAAACACTCATGA